CTCCCCTCACTTTGGAGAAACTTCCTGCTCCGTCTCTAGGAAAGTAAAGCAAGATAAATGAACAGGGTTTTTAATCCTTCTCTGCTTGATTCAAAACCTAAAAAAAAGTTTGGGCTGCACATACGGTTTTAAAATAGGAGCTGAAGCACACTCCTACAGTTTGAGTGACATTGAGATATTAAGAAGTCTGACAAAGCTTCTACAATGGTGCATTCTCTATCTGCAGTGCAAACAGGCAGGACCGGTACCTGTCTCATAAGCCTTTGATGAAAACTGCGGTTCCCTGACCTGTTGTAGACAATGACTTCTCTCAACTGAATGGGTTTCTCGCCAGGCTGTCAACCCCCTCCACACATACAACCTTCCCACCTCCAATTATTCGCTGGCATAGGAATTTGTTTAAAAATGCCTCTCTTCCTCACCTAATTCTGTGTTCATGTGATTTTCCAGTCTTGAGTCTTCTTAATTCCTCTACACAAAAGGTGTGGTCCTTCTTGTTCACATAGGCAGTGTTCTCTATTTCCTTCTTGGACATTTCCTATTGACCTATTGGTCCTCTGAGGATCCAGAATAGAGACTGCAGTGATGATGCTAGCAAGAGGAGACGAGCTGGCACAGGCGTATGCACCGCTGGATTGCCAGTCCACATCACATGGAAACAGCATCTGTGAGTAACATGGACTTGGGGGTAAGTATAAGATTGCTTTAGAAGTTTAAAGCGAAAAAAAAAAGCTGAATGGTTGTGAAGAAGATGGGGAGAGGGTTTGTTTTGTCCAGAGATGGCCTTTAAAGTGTTACTAAACCCACAATAGTACACTCAGTCTGTATATGCAGTAAAGCGTGCTTGTTATACTCACTGTGGAACCTAAGGGGTTAATCCTCTGCATTGTGTAAAAAAAAAAAAAAAATGCTGTTTGATCCTTCTTTTCTTCCAATGTCCCACTCTTATTTCCCGTTAAGACATATCGTGTGGAGTCACTCTGCACATGCTCAGTTTGGTGTGTATTGCTAGAGAGGATTTTTTCTTTTTTTTGTTCTTGAGAGTGCATGTGATCAGCACAGGGCCAATCAGCACTGTCCAGACAGAGGTCATGGGATTCTGCATCCTCCTAGAGCAGAAAGAAAACTCCTACAAGCTTTAATCAGTGCTCTGCTGAACACTGATAGAAGTCACAAGACTGCTGATGAGAAAAGATATTTAGCACTTTATATTTACTAAAATAACAGCATTTCCATGTTCCGTGTACTGTGTGAGGCCAGATTGAGTGAATACAGGGTCCTGGGTTTATTACCACTTTAAAGTAGACTGTAAGCAATAAGGTAAGTAAATATGCACATTAATATGCATATATACATTAAAAAGCAGGGTCTGCTTTAATTGTGTATATGTGTGTGTGTGTGTGTGCGTGTGTGTATGTATGTGTGTATATATATATATATATATATAATATATATATATATATATATATATATATATATATATATATATATAATGTGTTGTGCTCAAAGCTTTGCATACCCTGGCAGAAATCGTGAAATTTTGCCATTGATATTGAAAAATATGCCTGATCATGCCAAAAACTGTTCCATCTCTGTAACATCCCATTACCTTGTTGGTCTTTTGACAATTCTTTTCTGCTCCCCATGTCTCAGTATCTAGCACAGTATCTAGCCTGCTCTGTGCATCCACATGAGCGCTAACAAACTCATTGACAGTCTATACACAGGCACTAATTGCAATTTAAAAAGCTGGATGTGGGAAATTAACCTTTAATTGACATTTTTATCTGTATGTGTCACCTTGTGTGTCTGTACCAAGGCCAAACATTCCAGGGTATGTAAACGTATGATCGGGGCCATTTGGGTGATTTCTGTTATCCTTCTGATTTAAAAAGGAGCCAAACAACCTATGCGATTATAAATGGCTTCATATGATCACTATCCTTAAATAAAATACATAAAGGTTTTCGGTATGACCGTTCATATTTTTAATATGAATGCCAAAATTTCACAATTTTGCAAACTTTTGAGCATAAGTATGTGTGTGTGTTTTTATATATATTTATTATACAAACACAATTCTCAGTATGAGAATGAGTACACCTCTTTTGAAATGATAGCTTTTAATCAATATCTCAATGAACACAAGAACAATTTCCAAAATTTTTCCAGAACTGAGTTTTATAGAACATTTGTTTAGCTCATTACATGAACGTAAGGTTAATTATTTAGCTTAGATTACAAAATCTTTAGTTTTACTCAAATTAGTTGATGCAAAAATGAATACACCCCACAACAAAAAGGACTCCATGTAGTATTTTGTATGACCTCCATGATTTGTAAGGACAGCACCAAGTGTTCTAGGCATGGAATGAACAAGTTGGTGACATATTGCAACATCTATGTTTTTCCATTCTTCAACAATGACCTCTTTTAGAGCCTGGATGCTGGATGGACAGTGATGCTCGACTTGTCTCTTCAGAATTCCACATAGACGTTCGATTGGGTTCAGATCAAGAGACTTACTTGGCGACTGAATGACTGTTCTTCAGAAATGCAACAGTGGCCTCAGATGTGTGTTTTGGATCATTGTCATGTTGGAAAAGTGCACGACCAAGGGCACGGAGTGATGGTAGCATCTTCTCTTTCAATATAGAGCAGTACATCTGTGAATTCATGAAACCATCAATGAAATGCAGCTCCCCAACACCAGCAGCATCCATGCAGCCCCACAGAAGGACACTGCCACCACCATGTTTCACTGTGGGAACCATGCTTTCTTTGTACTCCTCTCCTTTGCAATGCCATACAGTTTTGAAGTCATCAGTTCCAAAAACATTATTCTTGGTCTCATCACTCGAGAGCACAGAGTCCTAGTAGTCGTCTTCTTTTTCAGCATGAGTTCTGGCAAATTCTAGGCGGGCTTTTTTGTGCATGGGCTTCCTTTGTGGACGACACCCATGCATGCCATTCCTCTGCAGTGTTTGCCATATTGTGTCATGGGAAACAATCACCTCAGTTTGGCTTTCTACTTCTTTAGCTAACTGCAGTGAACTTGTATGCTGATTTTCTTCAACCCTTCTCATCAGAAGACTCTCCTGTCGAGGTGTTCACTTCCGTAGACGGCCTGGACAGCTCTGTGAGATGGTTGCAGTTCCATCTTTGTTACATGTTTGTATCACTTTTGCTATAGTATTCTGACTGATAACACTGTTCAACAGGTAAAAAGTTTTGGGCATAAAATTAGCTAATCTTACATAATTTTGGGGTGCTGAAAACGAAAATGACCCTAAAAAATGTTGATTGGCTCTAGTTTCCATGATATATTCACCCATCTAATGACGTAAGCCATTCAAAATTATGATGCAACTTCAGCTGCATATTGCGCAATTGATACTGGTGACCAATAGAAAATTGCATGTATACTGAGATGATGCAATATTAGCCTTTAATTGCATCACTTCACTGCATAAAAGCTGCAGTATCTGTAGCTGATTGTAGTTCGACAGCGTCTTTACATTTCGTTTTATGCTTATATAGGCTACTCCGTAATGCCTCGAACTTGTGTGAATAAAGCAGATAATTTCTGCTATATCTGCGGTGAAATAACTTTTATCTCACAAAAAAGGAGGATAACAGGAATGATTAAGAAAGCCTACAACTTGTATTTTGGCTGCAAGATAGGAGACCAGGACAAGAGCTGGGCACCACATATATGCTGCAATTCTTGTGGGACGGCACTGGAGCAATGGTTGAATGGAAAAAAGGCATCTATGCCTTTCGCTGTGCCAATGATTTGGAGAGAGCCAACAGATCATGTTAGTAATTGTTACTTTTGTATGGTGCCTCCAACAAAAGGGCTAAATAAGAAGAAAAAGTTATCTGTGCACTATCCAAATATTCCATACGTCCAGTTCCTCATGGAGAGGGGCTACCAATTCCTAAAGCACCAGAATCCTTTGTGGTTGAGTCAAGTGAGGAAGAACCTGAAGCGTGTAGTCACGTGCAGTTGTAAGAGATATCCCTTTCCTCGAATACAAGAGAAAAGCCAAGAGAAGCAAAACCGACACAAACTGAAGACAAAACTAGTGAGCATCCTAAGTATTAAAATGATTCAACTTAGCTTATGGCTATAATTTTTCTTGGTAATCCTATGCAATATATTATGCCATTTAGGCTTTGTTATGTAGTCAATATCACTTGATTTATATTTGTGGAAAGACATCTATCTATATAATTATTGTGCATTATGTAGTCATTACGCCTATAGTAGAAAACTTTCCGTTTACAGAAAAACTAGAGCCAATTGACAAATTTCATTGTTATATTTGAACTCAGAATGTGAAATTCATTAAGAAATGGATCCTTTTGTTTCCAAAACTGCCAAAAAATAAAAATTTGTTGAACAGTGTAAGTAAAGCTTTGCTGATCTTCTTGCAGCCTTCACCTTTCTTGTGTAAAGAAATGTTTTCTTTCTCAGGCCTTGTGACATTTCTCTTCCATGTGGTGCAATTGCTAACAGCATGAAATGGGAAGGGGTTTTCTTTGTTAAGCAACACCATTTTATAATCAATTGTCTGCTGGACATCTGTTTAATGTTTAATTAAACTCACCTGTAGTTGAATTCTTGTTAATTAGGATTTTGTTCTCTAAAATCTAGCTTTGCTCTTAAGACTTTCATTGGGGTGTAGTCATTTTTGCAACATGGTCTTGAATGAATTTGTTAATTTGCACTCACAAAAAGTATTTTTCCTAACAAATGGTGTTTGCAATCAATGGACCGCATTTGTGGGAGTATTTTGTAGTATAGTGTTCCATGGAGAATGTTGATTCTGAAAGGAAAGTAAAGGTTTTCTGACAAATCTGTTGGGTGTACTCATTTTTGCTGAGCACTATATATATAACATTCTATGTTTTCTGCCCCTTTTTGTTTGAAAACAGCATAGTATAGGCCATAGTTTTCAGTTTCAATGTATGTGACTGTCTTGTCTTTCTTCTAGGTAAACTTTCCCTTGAAGAATTTATTAAAGGTGCCAAGAGCGATCCCTCAATCGTGCGATTGTTACAATGTGACCCAAGCAGCACAAGCCAGTTCTAATTACGCTCCATCCGTATGGACAGCCGCAACCAAACACTGGCTTGTCAATCAAGCTTTGCTTGCAAGTGAATGCCTTCTCAGTCATTCCTCTACTGTTAGCGGATATTCATCCCCTGCCAGATTGTTTTCTATGTATTAGAGAGAAAACAGCCTTGCTCCCCATTCCATTTACCAGTTACACACGACATTCCTTTCCTATGTTGCATCTAATGTCAGGTATGTTTACATGTGAAGACGGGAACACATAAGATTGATGCACAGTCGCCGCCCGGATTTTACACTCGTGGAATTGTTCTGACAGTGACGCCATGACACTATGCTGAACTTGGTTATACTAAGATAAAATAGATAGCTGTTTCACTTTGCAACAAAAGCCGGAAAGAAGATAAGGACATTACAATGAATGCATTGAAAGCACAAGAGTATATATATATTTTTTCTTTCTTTTTTTTTCTTTAATTCTTATTGCTTGAAATTCTGTAATTAAATTGTCATTATCCTGCTTATGTATGTATGTATGTACAGGCACACACATAATTCTAATATATCACAGTATATAGGATAAATAAAGGGTCAGTCTACTCAAAATTAATTGCTTGATTTGAGAGGAATGGTGGTTTTTCTCACCCACCAGCTTGGTAATAGTATAAGAACCCAGCATGGATCTTTCCACCAAGATTATGGAGGTTCCAGAAGTGGCACGTGGCACCACGGTCATGCTTAATGCGCACCCATGCCCAAGTTATGGACAATTAAGTAATTATATAGTATATACACTTTAATACAAGCCCTTATTGACCTCTGTAGCTGCAGCCACTGTGGAGCAAATGATCCTTAAATTACAGGGTCACTAAAATTGCAGCTTGTCTTCTCTTATGATCAATGACTAAAGGCATATGTTTGTATCAGAACTGAATTCTGAAGCATTGTAATCTGATTTCATATGCAAGTGGAATGCAGTTGAAACAGAGCTGCATTTGCCCTTTGAAACAAACCCAAAGCTCATCAACACAGGCCTTTATTTTTGGTGGCAGCATAGATGTTCTTTGACTGGGCAGCCTGTCAGCCTTCTAATGTAAACAAACAGCAGGTGCTGAAAGGTGATATTCACTGACTGAAATGTGACTTCAAAATCTGTTCTAATCTTTGAAAATGAATTATTCTTTAGTACTTGCAGCTAGAGAGGTTAGTAAGGGCTTGATAAAAGCTTGTTTACAATTGTAAATAATTTATTATCCATAGTCTAAATACAGGTTCACTATAATGACTACTTAAGTCGGTCACAGCCAAGGACATATAAAGTCAAAATATTACTTGGATCTTTTATTGTGTTAAGATGGACACATTGTCATCTCTGCACTAGGAAGCAGCCTTTCTTTTTGTTGCACATTACCATGTAGACTGGGGTCTGACCAGTGACGCATAGTTCCCACAGAGAACCAATGTATCTTATGGTTATATACCATGTTTTTTCAGAAGATAGCGATAGAGGTGAAATCTGCCACTTCATCCATCTTTCCATAGAAAATGTGGGAGAGGCTTCTGTGTCATCTTGCAGAGGGGCCCAGAACAAAATGGATATTTTCAGTTTTCCTGGAATATCCCTTTAACAAGCTTAAACATTTCCTTTGATATGTAATATACTTCAAATTATAATGTCACAATACATCTTTTATATATGTAGGTGTGTGTATGCGCGCACGCATGTGTGTGTGTATATATATATATATATATATGTGTGTGTGTGTGTGTGTGTGTGTGTGTGTGTGTGTGTATGTGTATATATATATATATATATATATATATATATATATATATATATATATATATATATATATATATATATATATATATATACACACACACACACACACATCTAGATGTGGCCTGTGTTATGCATGCATTAGATGCATATGTCAGACTGGTGCTTAGTGCCCCTTCTCTCATAAACCACAGTTAAAACTTTCAGCTGTGGTTCATTATCAATAGCTGTGAGGTCCTGTCAAAGTTCAATGTATATGCTCAATTCTATAGAACAGTTTCTCAATGGCGTGGAATTTTCAGCACAGGATCTGTCGGCACAAAGGTATACCATGCCCTCATATATGCAAGAGAAAATAAATATAGTATTGATTACAAAAAAATAGAGGATTTGCCACAAAGCACCTTTCTCACATTGTCCCAGCAGTTCAGATGTTCCAGGTCTGCTTATGATCTACTTATTGCAATTTTCTAAGCCTGGATTTACACCTATACATTGTAGTGTGTTTTAATGTGATTTGCAAAACGCGTTGACATGTGTGTTAATGTGCATTGCAATGTGCAGTGACAGCCATTTTCAAGTTCCTTCATTGGTTTCAGTTGGCTCCTCCATGTGTGTTCATGCGCACTATTGCACCTAAGTGTGAACCAAGCCTAAGGGTCAGTGCCAACAGGATTTCATATAAGAATAGCTTCTCTCCTCATACAAATCTGTGGGAATGCAAAAGCAGCTTAAAGCAAAAGGAAGTCAGCTGCAGGTCAAATGCACCCATCAATAAATTCCAGATGTTCCCAGAAGCCTCTCAAACTCTTGGAAATAGTATGCATTTGCAGCCCAAATCCTACCGCCCCTAGCTATTAAAGTATTTACAGAACCTTGGATGAACAAAACTGCAATTTATCACAGCGATAAGTCAGATTCTTTTCTTGATCTTAAAGGATAAGTACATCTTTGAAACATGTTACACCCATATTTGTAACATGCTCCAGCACCTCACTTCCTGATGACCGCCCCCTTTCCCGAGACAGCAGGCCGGGGCTCCTCTCCCCTACAGCCACTGTCACATGTTAGATGCATTATTCAGTACATAGATCTGTGAATGAATAAACTACAAGTCCCATCTGCCACCATGACAGACAAGACTGGTTCTCTCTGACATTTCCACTAGCTTTCAGACAGAAGGCTTGTACAGAGGTACTCACAAGAAAGCTGTGCAGGAGACTGACATTGCACCCATGGACCACTGATCACAGGTGCAATGCTTTGCAGGCTTCTGTGAAAAAAGTAATAAATGCACTATTTTCTGCAAATAATATGTTCAATTATTAATTTTTTTCCCTAAAAGTGAACTTAAAGCGGAAGTAACCCCTTCAATTTAACAGTTTAAAAAAACAGTTACATTCCTGCCCCATGTCACATTTGCTTGTGCGCCCAACCAAACTGTGAAACCATTAAATGCCTGGAGTCCTAACTGATCACATGTGCAGCATCACGGCAGTTGAAGATTAAACAAAGGCTAAGATGGCAGCTTTCTTGGTGAAAACAATAGAAGGGTTTAATTCCACTTTAATAAATGAGACTAGATTGATTGCTGTAGGCACCATTTTTCATTGCTCCATTCCTTGTGATGACTGCACTATGTTGCTGTCTAGGAATGTGGAGACCATGACCTGTTGGTGGTCCATGAGAACTGACATTGGGAAGCTCCCATATCTGTTTTGTGTTTCTCAGACGTTTCCATAATTACAAGCCGAACATGCTGTAAAAGGCCCAGTTTATTATTTTATCGGAGTCTGTGAACAATGCTGGAAAAGGGGTATTACTACTGATAGTTAAGGACAGGTTTGGGAAATACCCGGTCTTATTTATAAAAGTGTCTAAGGGGGAAAAATGCCATGGACAATGTGAAAGTGCATTGCCCGAAAACTGGGCAGTTTCTGCACTTCGCTAAATATGTCTTTCCCAAAGTGCGTATTACTTTACAGTGGACAACTCCACACTTTCTGCTGTCTTGTGGGGTAAATAATGAGTATAACTGTGTATTTATAATAAAGTGTAAATTCTTCCTGTGTTTAGCCTGTGCAGCCAGTTGTTTTCCCCTTAAAGCTGAACTCCAGGCAAACAGCTAAATGCACAGATGCATTATATGCAACTATTTTTACCTGCAAAGATTTATATTTCTGTCCATCCGGTCCTGAAAATCACACAGCGAGAAATAATGATCACTTTCTCCATCACAGTTAAGGACTATAGACTGGATACCATGGTGTTTTCTCTCCACCCCTAGCCTGTCGATTGAATGGACACTAAGGGATCATTCAGACCATGTCCGTTGATTTGCGTTGATCTTCCTGGACCAATGTAGGCTCAATGCAAGGGCACAACAACTATCTTCTGCGTGCCCCATTCACACCCTAACACTGCATTGACTTTGCCCCGCGTGACACCACAGCTTGTCGCAAGTTGACTGAAGTGTATTTTTCCAACAATTCAATAAAGCTAGGAAAAAAGTAAGCAATTGAATGCACTGTAGTAATGTATCACACCTACCACGTGGTGTAGAATGTGGGCTGGTGTGAACGAGCCCTAAGGCACAGCAAACTGAGACTGAGGCCACTTGCTCTTTCCTCCTATCAGCATGTTCCTTGTCAGAACATTTGCGTGCAGCACACCTGATTGGCCTTTAGCCCTCCCCCTCCCTATCTATGTGCTGCTGTTTTGGTGATTTCAACAAGCTGATACCAAGTCAAATTCAGGTACCTAATCCGGTTGCTTAAAAAAAAAAAAAAAAAAAAAATGTATCTAATGATTTATTATTGAATACATAGCAATAATAATGTGTTTTATCTGCCTGGAGTTCAGCTTTAAGGCCCCATTCACACTAGGGTGTTTTGAATCGCAAGCAGAATCGGCATAATTCTGCCCGCAATTTCAAAATGCTCTACTAAAATGACAATCGTGGAAGAAGTGTTCAGGTACCATTCATTTTAATGATGTTGCGTTGCATGATGTGATTTGCTGTGATTGCAGTGTGATTTATCATGCGCCAATTACGGCCGAACTGCATCGCATTTTCAGGTGCCATTAAAATGAATGGCAACTGAGTATGCAGTTCTGCGATTTGTCATTTTAGCAGAGCGTTTTGAAATCGCAGTCGGAATGCTGCCCATGATTCAAAATGCCCTAGTGTGAATGAGGCCTACTTCTCCCATACTGCAGTGTAAAAGAGAAATGGGGG